CCTCTACCCTCGCTCCTGGGTGTCCCCGCCCCCGCCTCCGTCCCGGCTCCCTGTGCTCTCCCGCTGGCACCTCCGCCGTCGCTCCAGGATGCCCCCGCCCAACATCTACCTCTATCCTCCGCCCACGCCTCTATCCACGTTCCCGACACCGCCTCTCCCTCCACCCACTCCCCCTCCGCCCTCGGCAACGGCTCAGCTTTCAGCACCTCCATATCCGCTCCCGCGGCTCTCCTCTCTCCCACCTCTGCTGCCCGGCTTCTCTCTAGCTGCATCCCCGCCCCTTCCCCGCCTCCACCTCAGCTCGCGTCTTCGCTGCCCTCGCCCAATTACTTCTTATCCAATCGCGCCCGCTGCCTGAAGCGCTCCGTGGCGTTGTGGCTAGCGCGCGCAATTTTCTCCTCAGCACATTGCATACTTTTTACTCCACAGGGTGTTTTAAGATGTCCAAAGCGGATTGGGTACAGATTTATTCAGATATATCCCATTTCTTCCATCCTCTGTTTCCCCATTACATCATTATTACAATCAATTACTCCTATTCACCACACATTCTGAAATGTGTGTAAAGGTGCAGTAAAATTATCGTCAAAACGACTACAATTGCACAATGTGCTCTGCTCAAGATGAGCCTCGAAACTAAAAATAATAATTTTCAATCCATGGAACAGAGATGTAGTAAAGAGAATGACGTCAACCTCAGCTTTCGCCGTCCTACCAAAATGACTTATTCTCTACTTCTCCTCTCCATTCCTTTGAATAACGTCAGCCTTTTTTCGCTGTCTTGCCTCTCCTTCCTCGAGTTGTTGCTCTATTTTTAGGCGGCGCGTTTTCCGGCGTCGGTGGTGATTCAGTCGCGGTGCGGGGGCGGTGCGCCGGCGGGGGCGGGGGCGAGTGGTGCTAGACTAATCTCCCACGCGGCGCCCCAAATCACGCCCCTCGCAGCGACCCCCAGCGGAGCGGTGCGAATTTCGGCTGCTGCGTTCGGAATCGATGGGAGAAGGGGGATGCGTTGCCACACTTTTGTTTTGTTTTGGACTCTAACTCTATATTTGTTTCGTTATTTTCTCACCATTTTCTCACCATACATTGGTTTATAAGTGTTCATAATGATGGCAAGAACTATAATTGATTGTGATTCCGGGCACGTCAACTACTAGGGTCATTAAGTATAGAGCATGTTTTTCTCGTGAGGTTGCGGTGGTCTTCCCCCACTGTATGGCGGAACTACCGTCGCCGGCAGGCGAACTACCGTCGGCTAGCAGGACTCTCCCCAACTACGGATCTCTCACCAGAGTGACCTCGCCCCCAACCGGGACAAGCTCTAAGCTCCCGACCAATCTTCTGACGTGTGGTTGTAAGAGTGAGGATAGGACAATGAAAAGGTAGGAAAGATATCGCGCGGCTCGTGGCCCGTTTGTTTGGGTACTGCCCCAGCATTCACAGGTGTTGATCGGAGAAACCACGTAAAACTACCGTTCAGAGCAGCCGACCGCTGGAGTTCTCATGCAAACAGCTACCTGACGCTATCTGGCCTGTGCCGAAAATCCAGCAACTGTTGGGACCCGAACCTAGGACCTCCCTCATAGATACTGCAGTGACATCAGGTGATGCCGGTCGCTACGTTCGGAATTGATGAGTGGAGAGGGAAGGGTTGCGATTTTGTTTTGGACACTCGTTATAACATTGCTCCGCTATTATTTTATTTTCTCACCAGACATTCATTAACACGTGTTTATATCGATGGCAAAAGCACAAGAACACCAACAAAGTATAAATAATTAAGAATTTTAGATTTAGATTTATTCTGTCAAAAAAAAGTAAAAACTGTAAGTGACGTAGGGCGGAAAAGAATTCCGTTTGAGAAATCAGCAGATAGTCAATTATTTAAAAACTGCACGAGTGAAACATGTGGATGGAACAAACTTAAAATTTTTGAATATGAAAATTGTGTTTCCTCCTCGTCAATAGAACACGAGGGATTAAGGTCTGGGGGCTCCAAAACGCAACGAAGACCGGACGATTAATCC